GGCTCAAACCTGTGGTTATTGCACTAGTTCCTATGCTTGTGCTTTAGGCCTTTCATTTTGTCCAAATACCGTCTTGTTAGGTTGGCATGCAAAAAAACGCCATAGAATATTTTAAAAAATACTGTAGATGACAGCAGCCTGAAACATACAAGATCAAGGAGCCGTGGGTACTGACCTATGATGCTGGAAAGGTTAACGCTTGATTTTGTAGTGCATCAGTTACCAAAGATCGGGTCTCAGCTTCCGTAACTGCTGGCCAGGAGTTTTGGACACATAAGCCCTTCAAACTCACAGTGAATATACGAAAAAATTAAGTACAATATCTCCACAATCACAAAATACTAAATTGTCGTAAATAATCAAGACAATAAGCTATGAACTTACATGAATGCTACTATCACTATGAAAGAGAATCATAAACTTAGATGTTTACATCTTGTGCAAAAGGACATCTAAATGCTTTGAATTAATTATCCCAACAATTTCACACTTTACTAAGTGAAACTAGCCTACTAATTTTTTGAAGTGAATAACATTCAATTCTAAAATGCTTCTTTACCTTCTTGTATATTCCAAATGAGTAAAGCAATGGTGGAACTACCATCTGATAGTCCCGATGAAGCACCACCAATGGCCACTAGATTTGTCAATCATCATAATTTGTGGATTACAAACAATACTCTCTCAACACCCCTGTCAATCCCAGATTGCATTTAACTCCACGACTAAATAATTGGTGCTTCAAATCTCTGGTCAAAAGTGCTTAGTGAAGTCCTTCACAACTGTTGTTTTCTAGCCAACCTAGATCTGTATGTTCTTTACAAGAGAACACAAAGCAATATACATATCTTGGCATTTTGCATATTCTCACTGGCAAAGATAGTAGAAAGTTTCATTAGAATGAGAAGAATCATAAAATGATTATCAAAACCACTTTCTTTAACCCCTCCTCCGAGTACAATGAGTGCTCTCTGAAAACCATAACCGTGGGGCATATTTATAATGGTAAGACAGGGATAAAAAAATTCATTAAATGGCAAACAGGTATCCCATGTTGTCTCCTTATTTCATGGGAATTGTAAGTAAGGCTTGATAATCTCACTTGAGAGTAAGTATTTAATCAAGTTCCAGAATGAAATTTTCCCAAGAATAAGGAATCATTTTATCTTCACTTTCATGGCTCGTGTTTCATCTAACCATCCTATTGTAGCAAATTGGTTTGAAGGAAAAATTCTAATTTCTTTCTCCTTTTAAGTGTCCATTTAGACTGTCCAAGATGCAGTAGATTTCATTTCTTTGTTCATGTCTGGTGTCTTTAGCCAGGAACTCATGGACCCTGTTTCCAACTTGAATTGAGCTACAACCAGGAACTTTTTGTATTCCTCGTTGTTTCATTGCAACACGGTATAGTGAAGAATCTTCCCAGTTTCCCATTGATGCACTCAAATCCGAGATCAGCATCAAGTAACCTGGATTTGAAGGCTCTTGATCCAGAATTTTTCGAGTCAGTTCTTCTAACAACTTTCCATTTCCATGAAATCTTACAACAACTAAGCAAAGTAGCCCAGATGACAGAATTTGGCTTCAAATGCATGCTATCTATAAATCTGACTGCTTCTTGTATCCTTCCTGCTCGTCCAAGAAGATCAACCATACAACCATAATGCTCAATCCGGGGTTTGATATCAAACTCTTTCACCATCTGCTCAAATAGCCTCTTACCTTCTTCCACCAAACCTCCATGTGTGCAAGCCGACAGAACAGCAATGAAAATGATGTCATCTGGTTTTATTCCTTCTAAAGACATCCTATCAAAGAGAGTTATAGCTTCCTTACACTTGCCATTAACAGCTAGTCCTGAAAATTAGTGTTGTCCATGTAAAATATACATTTACTAGCCATCCCTGTGAAATATTGTTAGTGGAGTTATACACATCTCCACATTTTGCAAACATATCTATCAAAGCATTCCTAAAGGAATTGACAAGTCAATCTTGTTTCTTTTCATATAAGAATCAACCCACTTCCCATGTTCAAGAGACCCCAATGAGAACATGCAGAGAGTACACAAATTAAGGTTGTTTGATCAGGCTTGCACTCGCCGTCAATAAGCATATTATGAAAATATGGCAAGAGCTTGATCAAACATGTGGTTATGAACATAACCTGCAATCATAGCATTCCAAGAGACCACATTTTTAAGTGGCGTCTTATTGAAAATGTGGATGGCAGATTCAATATCTCCAGCCATGCTGTATCCTGATATTAAGGTTGTCCAAGAAACCACAGTTTTCCGAGGCATCTGATTAAAAATCGACTGTGCAGCTTTCATATTAGATACCCTTACGTATCCTGAAATCATGGAGTTCCACGAAACCTCATTCCTCTCTGGCATTCTCTCAAAGACTGAAAGAGCCAAATCCATATTCCCAGCTTTGCAAAGCCCCGAAACAATAGAATTCCAGGTGATTGTGTTTCTCTCACTCATTGATTCAAACAACTGAACTGCAGACTCGATCTCACCACGAGCCATATAAGCACCGATCATTGAATTCCAGGAAACCACATCTCTCTCAGGCATTTCCTCGAACACCTGACTGGCAAAATCGAAATACCCCCCACATCTCGCATAGAAATCCAAAAGAGTATTTTGTACAAAAATGCTAGCACCATAACCCAACTTAAAAATCTCAGCATGTATTAACATTCCATCTCTCAATGCTTCAAATGATTCAAAACACCTCAAAAGAAAAGTGAAAGTGAAGCTGTTAGGCATGACCATTAGTGCCTTCATTTGATTGTAAATACTCAGTGCACCTTTATGGTTCTTTCCTACAAAGCATTTGATGATCGTATTATACGCGACCACATTAAGATATTGTGAGCTTTGGAATATGTTAATTGCATAATTAAGTGAAAAGAGTTGCGCAGACAAAGAGAGGAGCTTTGGCAGTACAAAGGCGTTGCTTTGTAAACCGCGAATAAGAATCTGAAGATGGATTTGCTTTAAAATACTTGTACTTGTAAACTTGTTCAGTAGTTTGAGAAGCTGATGATCCATTGAGCTTGCGCGGGTTCGTGACCAAACTGGGTAGTTAAGGTAAAGAAATGTAAGAGTTACAGTCATTCAAAAACCAGTAATCTCCCCAGCTCTATGCAAGGCTAAGCAAGTACTAAGGTCTTTGGGGAAGGAAAAGAACATTGTAGTTTTCTGCCTGAACTTTTTTTGTATGACCCATTTTATTGGATTGCAAATTAAGAGTATCCATTATAAATATAGTTCTTATATTCGTTTAAAAATATTTACTTGTTTTTACTTTTTACTAGATCTTTATATTTTACGTTTTGATTTATGGATTCATGCTATAGTTTATGGAAATTTCATGTTATAATTCTTTTTGAGCTTTCCTTTTAGCATATTTCACATAGAAAATTTTATGCAATAATAAGAATAACTTCTACTTAAAAAGTTTACTCATTAACTTGGTGTTTAAAAATAAAAAAAAAAAAACAAAACCACATACTTGGTTATTATGCCGTTTGCCAAAGGATTAAGATGGACATCCTGGAGAGCTCTGCCCAAAAATTTTAAGGATTTTCCACTGCATCTCTCCGATTTACAGTTGAACTTGGAGACATGGAAAGATGAGAGTAAGAAGAAATCAATTACCCAACTGCTGTTTTCTTATAAGGAAGCTTATCTCTCAAGGATCACCCAAGAACGCCCTTGTTTTATACAATCAAGATCGCCGAAAGGGAGCCTCCTACTCCTACATCTTACCTGCAATTCCTTTACTTTTCAAGGCTTGTGCTTCCTTGTCAAATCTCCACCATGGAAAAGCTCTGCATGGTCAATCCATTAGAGCTGGATTTCATTTTGATATCGTTGGGGCGACCTCATTGCTTCATATGTATGCTAAGTGCGGCGATACATTTGCTTCCAGTAAAGTGTTTGATAATATGCCTCATAGAAATGTGGTAACATGGAATGCCATGATTGGTGGCTACTTGAAGAATGGAGATGAAGCATCTGCATCTCTGCTATTCTGGAACATGCCAATGAAAAATACAGCAACTTGGACTGAGATGATTCGTGGGGTTGCGGCAAAGGGAGATACTGTAAAAGCCAGAGAATTGTTTGACAAAGTTCCTCCTGCGTTGAAAAGTGTGGTGGTATGGACGGTGATGGTTGAGGCCTACGCCAGAAATGGGGAGATGGAATCCGCAAGGAAAATTTTTGAGCAGATGCCGGAAAGGAATTGCTTTGCTTGGTCATCCATGATTTCTGGGTATTGCAAGAGAGGTAATACCAAAGAGGCCAGGGCAATTTTTGATCGAATTCCTTATCGGAATTTGGTGAATTGGAATTCATTAATTTCTGGGTATGCCCAAAATGGGCTCTGTGAGAAAGCTTTGGGAGCATTTTTTGAAATGCAAACTGACGAATTTGAACCAGATGAGTTTACGATTGCAAGTGCTTTATCTGCTTGTGCTCAGTTGGGTCAGTTGAGAGCTGGTAAAGAAATCCATTGTATGATATATCGCAGGGGGATAAAGTTTAATCAGTTTATTTTCAATGCTTTACTTGACATGTATGCTAAGGGTGGGGATTTAATAAATTCAAGGCTGATCTTTGATGGAATGACAGAGAGGAATACTGCCTGTTGGAACGCGATGATCTCATCTTTTACTGTTCATGGACAGACCATTGAGGCCCTAGAGTTCTTCAGAACAATGGAAGATGCAAATGAGAAGCCTGATGGAATCACATTTCTATCTCTTCTTTCAGCTTGTGCACACGGAGGTTTTGTTGAAGAAGGATTAGAAATTTTCTCCAAGATGGAGGGCAAGTACGGTTTGGCACCAAATGTAAAGCACTACGGATGCTTGGTTGACATTTTGGGACGTGCAGGGAAATTGAAAGAAGCATATGATGTGATTAAGAAAATGCCAATGAAACCGAATGATGCAGTTTGGGTAGCTTTACTTGGTGCTTGCCGGATTCACGTGGACATGGACATGGCAGAAAAGATATTAGAAGAGGTTAACAGGTCGGATCTTAAGTGTTCTGGCAATGATTCTCAATTTGTGCTTGTGTCAAATGTATATGCTGCTTCTGATGCATGGGAAAAGGCTGAAAGGATGATGATGGCTATGGTGAGTAAAGGGATTAAAAAAACTCCAGGGTGCAGTTCAGTTGTGGCTAGTGATACCTGTCAAAGATTCAGATGAGCATTATACTTCTATAAAGGAGTGCATATCCTATTTATTCAGTGACAAAAGAAAGTACCACCATTTACCAAAAACAAAAGACATGGAATTGTTTAATCACTACTGCTCATTTTTAATCACGGCTAAGGGCACAATTGCTAGGGACCATGATGACATATGTTTCAAAACCATATGGTGTTAAAGAGTTATCCAACAGATAATATAAGCTAATATAGATTCTCTAATTCGACGTGAGAATACATCACTTAATACCTTCTCTCATGTAAAGCATATTACAGATAGATTATCAACAAAATATCAGGTAGCATCAAACTGTGACATGGAGTTCTCTGATACCATGTTAAACTCTTACCTAAAACCACATGGTTACAGAAAGAGTTATCCAATAAGTATAAGAATTAATATAGATTCTCATACTTGGTGGATTTGAAATTACATCCTTTAAGCATATACAACAGGACCAGGCTATGAAGAGGAATTGACTCTAATACTGTGTTGAATTCTTACACACAATTATATAATATTAGTGAGAATTGTTTACCAGATATATATATACTTGGTCAATATAGAGTTTTATCGTTTAGTTTCAGACTAATATAATTAGAAAGCACATGAGCTGTAGTAAGGGTTCCTTCTATTAGTGACCAATGCATTGCGAGGTGACTATGAGAGATACTGAAAATTTTAACCACGTCAGGGTTGAAATAATTTTTTGTGCTGCAAAATTAAATATTACACTTTTTCTTAAAGTTTCCAGGGGGCTCTTGAAAATAATATTTGAACAAATGATGTGGTTGAATTGAAGCCAATTGTGCCATAAAGGCACTACCTTTTTCTTAGGTGTAGGTGCTGCAAACTTGTATTATGGCAAAAATGAAACTAACATGCTTTTTCTTTCTTCCTCACTCTGCCAAAGATCTCAATTAGACAACACGAAATGACTCAGCTATCCTCTTCAAGTCCTTATAATGTCTTTTCCATTGAAGACCTACAAAAGTAACACAAGAATACAGTTAGTGAGATTTTTCAATTAAGTTTTATCGTCTAGGTACGGAAGACAGTTAAACGAGAAAGTAGGATATTAGTTAAAAGAAATGTGTAAAGCAGTGTGTAGATAAAATTAAAAGACTTTTAAAGGCATTGCACTTCGTTCATTGAGCAGGTCTGCAAGCAATGTTTTTATAATTGTAGATGCTACAACAAGAAGGAAAGCATGAGACAGGCTCCACGAGAAGTTCAAAGGGATGAAAGGATATGGACTGTCAATTTGTTAACTCTCAAAAGAGAGTTTGAAGAGCTGACTATGAAAGATAATGAAATGACCAAGCATTATGCTTTCAAACTTATGGGGTGTAGGTAAATCAAATGAGTTGTGGCGTTAGGCATTTGTCATCTATAAACAAAGAAAGTGTTGGTTCAAGCTGAAAGATGCAGTCCTTATTGGTCCAAACATGTATGACTGAACTAATCGAAGTCTTTCCTTTTCTCAGGCTTTATCCTTAAACAAGCTTGTTTGTGTAGCTTGCCAAGCTGACAGCTGTCACATTCATATCTACTAACATGAATTTGAGAAATTTCAGAGATTCCAAGTTAAGATGGCCAAAGTTTTTGTGTCATATCTAAGTTTCATCAAGTTAAGCATGTGAACATGATCATCAATTGACTTTCAGTGAAGAACTGAAGCTATCATCAAATTTTCAAGCTTTAGCAATCTCATTTTCATTTGGATCACAAATAGTGCAGAAACTTCCTTTATAGGATCGATTGAGGTAAAGTGGGTATATAAAAACTAAATTCAACCAAACAGCTCAGTGCACACACATAAGGTTAGGCTAGTTAGGAAGGTTTATGCTCAGCTTGTAGGGGTTGATTAGGGGGACACATTCGCTCCAACAGCCAAGCATGATACAATCAAGATATAATTTTTTTTTTCCGGTGCAAATAGGTTGGAAATCTACCCCAGAGATGTTAAATTGCATACTATAAATGAGTTGCTTCAAGAAGTTTTTGCTAATCATTTCGAGGGCTTCTTGATTTTTGACTGGGAAGACAAAACTTACAGGCCCTAAAAATGCTCTTTATTGTCTTAAATAGGAGCCTGGGTTTGGCACAATAGAATTGACTTTCACCTAAACAGTCAAGAATTCAAGAGGGAGAATGAGCCAACTCTATATGTGAAGTGCTACGTATTTGAGAGGAAAGTGATCATTCCATTTGTATGTGAATAATCTACTGGTGAATAGAAACAGCTTTCAGTTTTTAGAGAATTTTAAGCAAGAATGATGGATGAGTTTGAAATGTCATATTTGAGCGAGACGAATACTTTCTTGGGATGGAAATCCGTCAATGTTCTAACATTTTCCTCACCCAAAGAAAGTTTGCCTTCATATCTTCAAAGTTTAAGATGGAAAGTTGTAAGTCAGTTTCAACTCCACAAGTCTAGGGTGAAAAAATTCAAAGGATGATAGTGATGTCAAGAGCTTTGATCTATCTGTAAAATTTTGCGTGCAAGCCCTTTATATCTACCAACAACTAAATCCTGATATAATCTTTTAACCTTCTTTCAAGCAGCAAACAGAGCAGGGATATTCTTGAAGGATTTGTAGGTAGTAATATGGCAGGAATATTGACAATTGGAAAAGCACTTTTAGCTATCTTTTATCTCTTAGTTCGGTATATTCTCATAGAATTCAAGAAGATAGGAGGTTGCTGCTAAATCACAGCTAAAGCAGCATATTTTGCAGCATCAGCTATCACAAATCAAAATACTTGGCAAAAGAAGATCCTTTTCTGTTTAGATTGTATCCAAAATGAAGCTAATGTCATTTAGGTTGATAATCAATCTACTATCTCGATTATCAAGAATCTTCTCAGTATGGCCAGAAATAAAATATGAAGCTTCAGCTTCAATTCCTTCAGCAAGTTAAGAAGAAGAAGAAATACATTTAGTGCATTTTAGGTTTAGGATCAATTTGCAGCTATGCCAACCACGACTCTCCAGAAAGCAGGATTAAAAGTATTAGTAGAAAAACTTGGTAAAAAAAAAAAAAAATATAAAGGAG